GGACCCAATACTCAGCTGTTTGAATGGATTCCCCAGAATGATCTTCTTGGTAAGACCTGGAGAGGAGAAGAACTGTGCAGTTGGACAGCAGATGAGTTCAGCAACTGTTAGAGCAAGTGCATTAACAACATTTAAGTATTGAACATTTTACCTTTGACATCTAGTTTTAAATTAGATGTCGTTAATGGACTGGCCATTAATCTTATTGATGTATGCTTTCTTTGGTTACCATAAGAGCATCTACACTTAAGAAGCTCATCAACCTGGGAGTTTCAATTGTATATAATCACCCTTAATGAGGCCTTCGTTACAGTGAGAAAGGAACAAGGTTCTGCTCCTGCTGGGGTCACACTTTTCTGGGGTAACAATGTGTTCAGCTTTTGAAGAAGAGACCATCTTTTTCACTGACTTAAGGAATTCCTCTTGTCTTTTCTGTGTCAGGAATTCTTCTAATGTGTTATGTGTTGATCCACACACATTCCTAAACCTACACCTATTCCTAAACCAGGCCATCCTCAATCAAAAGCTTTCATCACTCATGGGAGAACTAATGGAACTTATTAGGCTATTTATCATAGTGTCCTAATGGTGGGAATTTCCATGTTTGCTTATCATGTTGACAACACTGCTCACATTAAGGCCAAAGTAGCAGCTGTGTAGGTCACCATAAACACAATGACAAGTGCAGACCTGCTGGACCATTGAGGGCAATTATCAGTGATCCTTTATAAGTCCTGCTGCTCATGAAGGCTGACCTTCCATCCACAATGCTTTCCATCTTGCTGGGTAAATTTGGACTGTTTCATTCCTTTGTAACTACTGTACTTATGAAGAATTTAATAGTAGTGTCATATGACTGCTATAGAATTATGTATCACTATTGCACTAGTGATTTCTAATTGTTAGGGACTATAATTCTGGAAAGATATTTTCATTTTACCAATTTAAATTCTATATATTTGCTATTCCATTTTGTAAATTGCTCTTGCAGTTTCATTCAGTGATGCTCTGACTGATAGGCACATTTTTAAAAGTGTAAATATAAAAAAGTTTGCAAAGGAGATATCACAATACAAAGTTTTCAGAAGTATATAATGACTCCTTAACATATACTATCTGTTGGATATTTCTGTAAAGCAAGTGATCATGAAAAGGATGTTTAAATGAAATTATTCCATAATTCTGAGTCAATCACTACTGAAGTTTAGAACAGTTCTGGATACCTTTGCTCAACTCATTTCTCTTTTTGAACAGGAAAATTAAGCCATACATATACAACTGAACTTTTTATTTTTCATTGTGTGCACTTGACAATTGTGTTAAAAACATATATTTTCATACATTCCTCTACCTAACTCTTAAAATTATAAGCAGTTAACAAAGCTACTACAATAATTAAATTCTTTCAGAATCTATGTTTGACTTTGGCTTCAATAATAACATATGACCCATATTATACTCATTGAAAACAATCCATTTTTCTGCTTTTTGCTGTAGTTTTAAACAGAATGCCATGAGGTTATCAAGTGGTTATGACTAGCCAGTGAAACCCCTGGACCAAGCTGTCTTCTGGAACGAGTTCATAATGCACCACAAAAGGGCCAAGCGCCTGCTAGTTATAGTCCATGACTCCTCCTGGGTCCAGTGCCACTCTTTGGATGTGATTGGCACCTGTTCACTACTAACAGAATCACAAATGACATTAACACTAACATTTGCTAGATGAACACACTTGCATATCAAAAAGAGACACACAGAAAACAAATAGAAGATAGATGAAAACCTTTGGAATATATTACATAAGAAGCAAGCACTAAGTACATGAAGTAAGTTACTACTAAAATGCAAATTATAAGCACAGTACCTGGCAAAGTTTTACATTTGTTCAAAAGAATTGTCCTGGTGAATGTGGCATAAACTCCAAAGAAACAGAAATGGAAATATAAAATATATAAAACTTCACAAGATTGTTTAATAAAACAATTATCTCCTATAATTTCTTACATTATTCAAAGATAATATTCAAGCCACAATTTACAGGTGATAAAACTGAGGCACAAACAGTTGTCTGAAGTGGTATTGCTGCTTCATGTTTGGATTATTATAAAGAGACATATTTCTAAATCAGCACATATTTCTAAATCAATACATTTCTAAGTCAACAATATCTACTGTAATATTTGACATTATTGACATTCATCTAATTTAGAAATATGCATACTGTTTTAAATGAGAAAGAGACATTATAGAGGACAGGGAAATGTCTAGGAGAGTAGATGTTAAATATGTGAAGTAAGAATTAGTGGAAAGCAGGACTTTAAGCAGTGGAATTTTCTAGAAATACATTCGATATAAAAGGTAAATGCAGAGAAAAAGATGTCTATCCTTGCACACAATTTTGAACCTTTAAATTAGGAAACAAGCAACTTAATTCCATGCACATATAAAAGCCAGCATAGATGCTTCACATATTTTTTCAAGTCCAATGCAATCATATATGTTTTAGGCCAGCTGAAAACTCCTTAAGGTATTACATGACTCAAAACTGCATCCTTCTCTGCCATCACACTCCATATGACAGCACTTCTAAATCTGCCTGTCACCCTGTGAGCTCCATGCCCTGTCGTGTTCTCTGCAAAGCTACCTTTTCTACTTTACCATGAGGGCACCTAAGTTTGTGTGTCATCTCATATTACATCTTCAGCAGCAGTCACTATTTATAGTAATGAGAAGGAGTTCCAAGAAACAGAAGTTATTGTCTTTCCAGATGTGTGATCTTATATACAGAAAACCCTAATAATTCTTCTACAAACAGAACAGATAAAAAATAAGGAAAGTTGCAATATATACAATTCATGTAAAATTCAATAATACTTATGTTTAAAAGAATGTTCAAAACAGAAATCAAGAATAATATTTCAGAGCACCTCTCCTCCATGGTAAGTGGAGGCAGGGTGGCAGAGTGCAGCCCTTCCAAGGAGAGAAACAGCAGTGTCTCCTGAGATCCACGCCATGTTGGAACTTAGGACACTGGGAAGCCAAGCAAGCACCTGCCCTCCCTGGTAAGTGGAGGCAGTGTGGCAGACTGCAGCCCTTCCAGGGGGAAAACCAGCAGTATCTCCTGAGATCCACACAGTGTTGGAATTTAGGACACTGGGAAGCCAAGCAAGCACCTCCCCTCCCTGGTAAGTGGAGGCGGGGTGACAGACTGCAGTCCTTCCAGGGGGAGAACCAGCAGTATCTCCTGAGATCCACGCCATGTTGGAACTGAGGACACTGTGAAAACAAATGACCATCCTGCCTCCCTGCTATACAATAGTGAACCTACTGCTACATGGCCTAGAGTCAAATATCCCAGTTCCCCTATCCTCCTTCTCCTCCCCACCCCCTTACCTATTAGCAAATGGGAACCAGAAATCTGAGCATCTCCTGGGAGGTTGACCATAGCAAATAAGGGGGACTTCCTTCTACCATTTCTTTGAAGGCAAATATTTTTATTACTGTTTTGCTCTTTTCTGATTAATGGTACTGCTCTATTCAATATTCTGTTTTGATAAGTTCTATAGTGTTCTATATTTCATCTCATTTTGATATACGTGATTGAAAGAACAGCTATTATAAAGATAGCAAAATATACTGTGATACCTATTACTGTTATCACGGTAACCTGCTGTGAAGTTCTGTACCAGTTTCACTGCATGATCTTAGTTGGCTTTATTCTGACTTGTTCTGTTGTATACTTTCAAAATAAAATTTTTTAAAAAGGATAATATTTCCATTTATGAAAAGGTTAGCTTAAAGACAATAACTTTAACTAAGAAGACAAAAGGCATGTGCAGTGGATTGGTAACTGGTGGTCAACTTTTGAGGTCCAGCTGACCTGAATCAGCATGGTGCTGAAGTGGATGTCTCACCTGAGGATGCTTGCCAACGTTAAAAGGAGAACTGGATAATAAGAAGTAGTGTGCTTGGTTCCTGTTACTGTTGATTCTCCTGGAAGAGGTAGTCGAGCTTCTTTCTTGATATGAACTTGACTGTTATCATGGTCAGAGGAGCTTGGGACGTGGTCCCCGAGAATGACTGTGGCTCACTTTAAGGGAGCTCTGGTTCTTACTTTGAACACCACTTCCTTGCTCCAAAGGTGATGGCGTGCTGTTCAAACTCCAGGAGAAGCTTGTCACCTTAGCTTCCTGATATAAACTTGGCTGGTCTCTTCATTGGAGGAGCTCAGGACTTCATTGTTTCTGAGGATGGCTGTGTTAGTTTTTGGGGGAGCCCTAGTTCTTACTTTAAGCATTGATTTCCCACTCCAATGTGGAACCCTCAGCCTGCTGGCATAGATCCTTCATCCGACTGGCACAGACTTTCTACCACTGACCTTTGGGCCTTTTTAGAACAGATCCATGAAATAGACTTTAGGGGTATTTTAGGCCACCAGTTGAACTTGTGAAAGGCACTGCCATGGGCAGGCACTAGGTTTTCAGCTGAATGCATACAGGATATTACCATGGGATTCAGGACCTCAGCTGGATTCTCTAGTCTTTAGTGAGTGGACAGTTTTCCTGCACTTGCTTTGTATCTATCTCTTTGGGTGACAAGTATAAAATAATTTTATAAATTATTTGTCATATATTGTCTTGTTTTCCTTGCAGTTCCTATCTACAATAAAGTGTTGTCTGTAAAGTGTGGTCTGAAATTGAGCAGGCCAATAAGGGGAAAGATGTCCTTGTCCATAGATAAAAACTTAAGTATGGTTGAAATGCCCATATTACTTACAGTGCTACACAGATTAAGTAAATTCAATAAAATCTATTTCAATATTTCAATATCTTTTTCATGAAAATAGAAGAACCAATTCTAAGGTAAGACATATAAGTCTCAAATAGTCAAGCAATGAGCAAAAAACTACTGGAATTATCAAATATCTGACATAAATTATATTATGCAGCATACCAAGTAAGACAAACAGCATGTTACTGAACAAAAATCAGAAACACAAGTTAGTGGAACACAAAAAATTTATATATTTCTGCTCAACTGGTTGTAAACAATGTTTCCAAGTGTACACCATAGAGTAAGAAGAGTGTCCTCAACAAAATTCTGATGAAAGAAGATGTACATCCACCAGTGAAATAAAGAAATAGAATTAATTCACACTGTTTAACAAATAAGCTTCAATAAATTAAACATTCAACATAAAATTTGAAATGTAAAAAAAACTAGAAGAAAACATTGTAGAGACCCTGGTCTAGGACCACTGATCTTCTACTCAGAGGTATGATGACAGAATAAAACTCAGATATAATATACACTTTAATTACAAGGAGCACCAGGGTGGTCAAAGCCCAGTGATGGTCTGGACCATAAGGCACGGTGTCTTTGGCTTTTGTTAGGTGTAGAGCTCCACTGCGAGATGTACTGTTGGATTGTAAGAAGCAGTGGAGGTGAACTGCTGAAGCAGTCAAGGTGCAAGAACTGAGAAAGCATGCATTTTGGAAAATCACACAGAAATAGCAGTATTAACTAGTAATCTGATTTTCTGCAAATTGAAATTGTTGAACTAGAAAGATTTTGAAGGAATCAAAGTCCTCAGTGATCATGTTATCTTGTTTGGGACACAAGAAATTCAGATTGTTTTCTAGCCTGGAATCTGACCATTGGCTTAAAGATTATAAGCTACGTCCTTAACCCAGCCAGTGGTCTTGGCACAAGTCATCTGGGCCCAGGACAGACTGTATATTTATTCTTATACCAACTCATTAATATTGCTTATTGACTGCTTGTACAATGCCAAGCAGGTCTTCAGCAGTTTCTTCTTTTCTTTTGAAGTTGATGTAGATGCTGGGTGACTGTGCCTCGAAGTTAGTTGGTTGTGATTCCTCTATGGCATACTAAGAATAAAAGCAGAAACAATACAACATTAGGTTTTAGAATCCCAAAATAAATCCAAAAATCAACCTTGAGATATCCAAATGAGTAAATTGATTTAGCACATGAGATTATCTCAATTTTGAATTTGGTCATTAAATTCTTAGTTTGAGACATTGAAAGAATGTCTCTCTACAGTGTTTCAATATCCAAAGTTGTACTTTGATGGAGTGCATCTCTAATGGGTTTCTTAACATGCTCCTATGGATTCAGAGACTTGTATGGAAAAGAGGTGACAGAGAAACATTTGAAAATGTAGTGACACTTAAGATTATGCCATAAGTGCTTTACTTGGTCCCTTAGTCAAAAAACTGAAGCTTCTAGCACATGTATCTGTGTCTCTAGCTATAATATATATATATATATATATATATATATATATATATATATATATCACATATTCCATGCAATATTGGTAATCTTAGGCCAGTCCTTAATGAAATGTACAGTCTGCATATTATATCCGAGAGCCACTGAGGAGAGGACTACACCAGAGATGAGCAAATCTAGGGACACAGTACCTGCAGTTGTAAGTCTCCTCATGTGCTTGGCTCTGTATACCATAGCATCAAGCAAGATCATTGAGTAAAATGGAGGTGGATGAGTATTGCTCAGGATATGTAAGATTAACACATAGCCATATACCAGCATTCATCCCAATAACTATTACTATTTTGGAACTGAATTTGCCAGCTAAATCCAATGAGTTAGAACAGAATTTTAAAAAGTGAATGAATGAATTATTCTTCCATGACACACACACACACACACACACACACACACACACATATATATATATATATATATATATATATATATATATATATCAGGGTTTTTTTTGTACCGGGGATCATACTCCCTTACACTTACCAAGCAAGCCCTTGAACTGCTAAGCTAAATCCCCAGACCAATGTTACTATTAAGCTTATTTCTGTATTAACCACTTTGTAAAGATTATACAATAGGATATGTTCTTCTTTGTCTGAAACCAATTTATTACCTACTATGACTTTACCATCATAAAATAGAACTAGCAATTCCTTAAAGAATGCTGCTGAGGTCATTTTGGCCTCATAGAGAATTTGGGACATTAAGAGAATAAGTCCCAGTCTAACCAAATTACTAAAATCACTGGGCTTAGAAGCCAAAGTGTGTTCTACTTGGCTCCACATTTTTAGGTGGCACTAGTATTCTTGATTATCTCTTCCCATGTACTTCCTGTGAATTTTCTTTTACACTTCACTGGTACCATTCTCCAAATGACCTAAATTACTTTTGTTTCTCTGGCTGTGGTCTCTCTTGCTTTAAAGCAGGTTTTTTAATGGATCAATATGCCATGGTTCTATGAAAATATGCTAATATGAAGATTAATGTCTTATCCTTGATCAAATTCTGCAGGATCATTGCCCAATTTTTGTTTTTCTTCTAACTCAATCTTTTTTCTCTAGTCTTCTCTAGTTGTATTCTTTAGTTTTTCCCAATTTATTTCTTTGGACCATGCTAGGGGTACAGCATTAGCTATATCCACAGCTGCTGCTGAAATGATAACAAGGCTTTCTCCAATTCAGCCACTTTCACTCCAAAACTATTCAATGTAAAGCAACAGAGGCATTTTGAAACAAGAAAAGAAACAGGGATATTTGGGATGGTTATAATCTATTTTGTGTAAAAATTCTACAAATGTCACCTGCCAATAGTCAATTTTAACAAATTAGAATATTGATTCATATCAGAGGGTAATACGATTTTGTTGGGATCCCTGCCAATTCAGTATCTGGTTCATGTTTGACCTGAAAGGACAATTTCTGTTTTTGTTCAGTATAAAGTTTTAAGGTCTTCAATTTGTTAGGAAAAAATACTCAATGCAGAAAACTTGTTCATCATAATATTGTCCAACCAAACCAGTCAGGGAATCAGCAGTATCCAAAACAAAGAAATACAGCCATTGATTGTGATTAACACAGAATGCTTGCTATTCATTGTTCCACTAGTTGTAACTCCTTTTTTTGTCTCCATACTCCAAACTGTAAGACAGTTAACGTCAGGATCACCTCATCATGTATTATACAAATGATGTAATTGATAAGTGGGGATCCCTAACTTTGGCAGAATCTAATTTGCATCACCTAATGAGCATTAGAAATTGATTCTGGTTTTTAAATGATCTGTTATTTTTATTTTGGGAAGCCTCAAGGAACTTTCGCTCAGATGCTACAGTTCTTAAATACTTTATAGAGACTAGATATTTAGATCTCAGTGGGAATTACACAAACCCCATTGTCCATTACATCTTTTTTTACATAAGCAAATATCTGGGCCACTACATCCTTGGAGGAAGTAGCAATAAGTATATCATGTGTATAATGAATTATGCAAGCCTACTGAAAAAGCTGTCTTGCAGGAGAAAATGCCTGTGACATACAGAGCTGGCAAATAGTTGAACTATTGAACATCCCTTCTGGAATCACAATCCATTGATACTTTTCACAAACTCTTTAAAATTTGAACTATACATGGAAAAGGGTAAATGTGACTTGTCACTTGGAAATAAGGGGATACTGAATATACAGTGCTTGAGTACTACAACTATTAAGAGTCAAACTTGATGTATCCCAGTCACATAGGGAAGTCCAGGCTACAAAGGCCCCATGGGCTGCAAATATGTATTTACCACTTGCACATCCTAAAGTAAACTCTGTTTTGTTTTTACTTACTAAGTAAAACAAAAACAGGTGTCTTTGAGAGACTTGCTTACAGATCACAATGTTCCTTTTATAAATTCTGTACAACTAAACCCTGTAACAGTTCTAACTTCTCCTGTTTTAAGGGCTGGTGGTCTATCCAGACTGATCAATCTTATTTTTACATTAAACGTATATCCATTAATAGAGAAATTCCAATGGCCCTGAAAAAATGTGAATGATAAAACCTATTGCTGAACAAATTATCTTTTGACCTCTATGTGTAGAGTAGTATCCTATGAATCTTCCTAATCCTCTTTCTCTGATACCCACATTTTAAATATCTTTTTTTCTGGAGAAGTAAGAACACTGGTTAAAATTAATTTCCATTTTTGTAATAAATCTCAATCTGACATATTGACTGAAACAGGGGCATTGTAAGGACAAAATCAGGCCCTTCATAGAAAAGCAGGGAGGCACTTAGTGTTACTCTTTGTGGAGAGCACAATCCTACTAAGGAGGTAGGAGCAGGCCTGCTGTGCCAATGGCAGGCCATTGTTCTATAGATATGACAGATACATTTGTCCAGATATTGATTCACAGATCCCCAAACTGAGTATATGGTGCAGTAGGACCTTTTAAAATTGGTCTATCCATCACCTAGAATTGTTCCATCACCTAGAATTGTTCCCAAGTTCAGCAGAAAATTTCAGCCAAGTGAGTATAAAGAACTGCAGGACAGTGAGCCTGAGCAACTGTATTTTCAAAGTGACACATATTGATGGGAAGAGTAAATGTAAATTTAGGATTATCCCCAATACAATTTTTCTCAGCCTTATCAATAAAAGAAGTGATTTAAACCTCAAAATGCAGAAATTGAGCAGCCTACAGACAAGTAATAGCTAAATAATGCAGATCAAAAGGAATCAACATATAAGTCTGCCATACATTTTCAAATAGATCAATTGCATATGGACATTAGACCCTATTGTTCACAAAATTTTCTTTAGATTTTTAAAAATGGTATGATCAAAGCAAAAATTAACATTAATATTTTGATAAGGATTTTTAGGATCCCTAATATTACATACAGTGAAACATATAGATGTGGCAGAAATTTGTCCCTGGACTGCTAAATTTTGTAAAATGCTTTCAGAATTACTAGCAACCACTTTGGTTGACAACAATGGTGTCTCAGGCAGAGGAGTCTGCAGGGCCTCTAAGGGAAGAGCAGGTTAATTCAGCTTCTCCTCCTTCATGTCATTTTTGATCCTATGTTTTTTCCTGTGATTTCTAACAAATAAGGATGCTGCAATGGAACTGAGGCGTTCCAATTTGGAAGGCAAATTGCTTAGTCTTGCTTTCTCCATAGAAGCTATATCTTTTTTATTTTTAGAGCAGCATGAACTTTTAGGGTTAAGTGCCCAAGACCTAAGTAGAAAATGTTTCAGAAAATAAACATCTTGAAAGAGACAAATGCACCATGTTGTTGGGTGTGCTTTAGTTATTATCCTAAATGATTATAAAAATTTAGGTTAACCGTTCCTCATTTAGAGAACCAATATTTTAATTTTACAACAATTTTTAAGGTTTTAGTAAGGACACTGTTTTTAACTCTAATCTTTGCTTGCTTTAGCATTGCACATTGGATTGCATATTGTCTCCCAACCTGACTTGACTCAAAGAAGAAATGATTAACATCTAAATGGCAAGCATGCTTTTTCCACATATATTGGGTGATTTGGTAAACTGAAAATAATTGTCCTTCTGAACACAGAGTCCAAAATTATTATGAAATATATATATTCATACAAAATGAGTTGATTAAAGGCAGCATTATTGTGTGTGGTAGTTCTAACAAGTGCTTGTGTACCTCATCTTGCCAAAAAAAGGGATCACTAAGGGCATGAAATGCTTTTGGAAAACTTTTTGAAATAACAGATTTATTAAAATAAAATACTCATACTACACAATTTTAAAACAGTGTATGATTAAGTAGATTTGACCATATTGACAGAGTTTTTCAACCACGACACAATCAAATTTAGACCATTTTGTTGTTCCAAATCAAAACACTCTATACACTTTCAACTAACAAGTTGTCTGTAAATCTAGGAAACTTCTACAAATCTTTCTATATTTATATATATTTTTCTGTCCTGGAAAGTAATTTATTTTTAATGAAGTCTTACCATCCTCAAAGCAATAATCAATGCATTAATATTTCAAAGAAATGGAAATTTTGCAAAGTGGGCTTGCATACCATAGTGGAGTGAATCTAGAAACTGTCAAAATAAATATTCCTAGAATGCAGTAATTTTCCTGTTTCATTTGTCCTAAAATTTGTGTATTATTTCATTACATATACATAATATGTAAAAGTATATATATTTATAAATATATGTATAAAGTATATTTTTTTCAAAAAAATGAAACCATGTATTTTTCAGATTGTTCATCTGATTTAGTTTACTTAACATTATGGTTTCAACATGCACCTATTTTTCTGAAAATACCTCAGGATTAGCTTCCTTTTCTGAAGAGCAGTATGCCATTGTGTGTAAAAATAAACCACTTTCTTTTATCATTCATCTGTTCATGGCTATACAGGCTATTATGAATATTTAGCTTTAATGAATATTTAACTATTATGAACAGTGATGTTAAAAACATAGGTTCATATTCATCACTGTGGTCTAGTGCATCTAACTATTTTAGGAGGACACCTAAAAGGTAAATAACTCAGTCAAATTGAATTTCTATTTTAGGTTCTGGATTAATCTGCATACAGATTTCCATAATGGTTGTATCAATTTTCCACTTCCAGCAAAATGAACAATTCCTTTCTACTCACAGCATAATCAACATTTTTTATTGGTTAATTTCTTGACTGTAGCCTTTTTTGGGGGAGTGAGATGCCATGTTACCATTGGTTTAATTTTCATATCTTGAATGTGATGTTGAATATTTTCCTATATATTTATTTCTTCACCTGAAAAATCCCTATACATTTCAGATGCCCATTTTTGGATTGTCTATTTAAATTTAGTTGACTAATTATTTGAGTTCTTTCTATATTATTTATTTATTCCTTTTTCTGAAGAGTAGTTGGCAAATTTTTTTTTTCCAATACTATATGTTGTCCCTTCAGGGGTAGCTATCCTGTTTTCAGACAATGTGAACTTCAAATCAAGAATAATCATAAGAGATAAAGAAGGTCACTACATACTGGTTAGGGGAAAATTTCAAGAGGAAGAGATAACAATCTTAAATATATGCACCAAATTCCAGAGCACCCAGTTATACAGAGCAAGTATTAATAAAAATCAAAAATCAGGGGCTGGGGATTTAGCTCAGCGGCATAAGCACCTGCCTTGCAAGCAGGCAGTTGTGAGTTTGATCCCCGGTACTGATAAAAAGGAAAAAGACAAAAAAAGAAATCAAATTAGCAATAACACAATTAGAACAGGAGAACTTAATACACCATTGACCCAAAAGGACAGATCAACCAGAAAGTCAGCAAAGAAATAACAGAACTGAATCACACCTCTGAACAAATGGAATTGATGAATACAGAGCAATCCATGTAAAAATATCAGAATATACATTCTTCTCAGCAGTACATGGGACACTCTCTAAAATAGGCCACATAATAGCCCACAGAACATATTTAAATAAATGTAAAAGAATTGAAATTGTGCCATGCATGTTATCAGATCATACCACCATGGGTCTAGATATTAATGATCAAAGAAACTGCAAAAACAGCACAAACACATGGAAACTGAATAATATAATCTTGAGCAATCAGTATGTCACAGGGGAAATTAAAGAAGAAATTAAACAATGCCTATAAGCAAACAAAACTAAAAATACAATTCACCAAAATCTGTGGGATGCAATTAAAGCAGTCCTCAGAGGAAAATTTATTGCACTGAGGTTCCTACATCAGGAAAACAGAATGAATACAAATAAACAACCTGATGTTACACCTAAAACATATAGAAAAAGAAGAGCAAGTCAAGCCCAAACCAAAAAAAAGGCAGAAAATTATAAAAATCAGAGCAGAAATTAATGCAATAGAAACTACAAAAACAATCCAAAGAATCAATGGATCAAATGGTTGGTTATTTGAAAGAATAAATAAAATTGTTAAACCCTCAGCCAACATGATTCTAAAAAGGAAAGAAAAAGCTCAAATTCATGCAATAAGAAATGAAAAAAGGTTAAATCACTGCAGATAATGTGGAAATACAGAAGATCATCAATACCTATTTTGTAAACCTCTACTCTTATAGGTTTGATAACACAGAATAAGTGCACAGATTCCTAGAAATATATGAAGTACCAAAACTGGATCAAGAAGATGTAAAACTGCTGAATAACCCAATTTCTCTTAATGAAATTGAAAATGTAATTAAGTCCTTACCTACAAAGAAGAGCCCAGGCCCATATGAATTCACTGCAGAATTCTACAAGAAATACAAAGAAGAATTAATGGCAACTCTCCTCAAAATCTTCAATGCAATCAAAAGGAAAGCAATTCTGACTAACTCATTCTTGGAAGCAAATATTACTCTAGTACCAAAACCTGAGAAAAACCCAACTAAAAAACAGAGCTACAGGCCAATCTACCTAATGAACACAGATGCAAAAATCCTCAATAAAATATTGGCAAACAGGATGCAGCAAATCATCAAGATTATAAACCACAAACCAAGTGACATTCATCCCAGGCATGCAGGTATGTTTCAACCTACGTAAATCAATAAATGTAATCCACCATATCAATAGAGCCAAATGTAAGAATCACATGATCATTTCTATAGATGCAGAAGAAGCTTTTGATAAGGTCCAATACTCATTCATGATAAGAACCTTACAGAAAATTGGAATAGATGGTCTTTACCTCAATATGATAAAGGCCATCTATGCCAAACCAACAGCCAGGAGCATAACAATCAGCCACAAACTGAAAGCCTTTACTTTAAAATCTGGCACAAGACAAGGATGTCCCATATCACTGCTCCTGTTCAACACAGTACTGGACCTACTACCCAGAGCAATTAGACAAGAGAGAGAAATAAAAGGGGTAAAGATAGGAAAAGAGGAAGTTAAATTATGATTATTTGCAGATGACATGATATTCTACCTACAAGACCACCAAAACTCCATTGAAAGACTCCTAGATAAATAAATTGAGCAATGTAGGTGAACACAAAATCAATACTCAAAAATCAATAGCATTTCTATACACTAACAACAAAATCACTGAGCATTAAGGAAGCCACACCCTTCACACTAGCATCCAAAAAAAAGTGAAATACTTTGGAATTAATCTCACAAAGGAAGTAAAATATCTATACAGGGAAAATTATAACATCCTGAAAAAAGAAATTGAAGAGGATCTCAGAAAATGGGAACATCCCTCATTCATGGATAAGAAGAATAAATATTGTGAAATTCTCCTAAAACTGTTATACAGATTCAATGCAATCCCAGTGAAAATACCACCAACATACCATATAGATTTAGAGAAATCATTCCTAAAATTCGTCTGGAACCAGAAGAGACCTAGAATAGCAAAGTCATCTAAGCAGCAAAGGCAAGGCCAGAAGCATCACAATCCCTGACTTGAAGTTATACTACAAGGCTATTTGACAAAATGAACATGCTACTGGAACAAATACAGAGCCAAAGATCAATGGAATAGATTAGAAGATACAATCACAACTACCAACACACTCAACCACGTTATCTTTGATAAAGGGGCCAAACGTGTTCACTGGAAGAACAAAAATGTCTTTAATAAATGGTGCTGGAAAAACTGGCTCTCCATATGCCAAAAATTAAAACTAGACCCATGCTTATCACCATGTACTAAAATAAAATCTAAATGGATCAAACATCTGGATATTAAAACAGAAACACTAAACCTGCTGGAAGACAAATTAGGTAAAAATCTTGAAGACATAGAGATGTTTCTATGGAAAATGAGATTATATAGCAGTCATTGTTCATTTTCTGTTATTTGGTTCTGAGGTCCCTGTAATACTTTCATTCTCTTGAATAGTTTTATACTATTTTGTTATGTTTGATACTACTGTATGTGAAGTTATGCTCAACTGTTCAAAAAAAGAGACACTATGGTAGTTACTATTAATTATGGGTTATCTTATGGTGAAATACTGTATTGCTTATATTGTTCTGTTCTGATCTATTTTGTTATGTCCTCTTTTGTCTTAATCTCTTTAAAATAAAAAAGATTTAAAAAACCAAACAAATAAAAAAATCCTGAAAAAAGAAATCAAAGAGGACCTCAGAAAATGGAAAGACATCCTTTGTTCATGGGTAGGAATAATAAACATTGTGAAAATCGCCATTGTCCCAAAACTCTTATACAGATTTAATGCAATACCAATCAAAATGCCACTACCATATCTCACAGATCTAGAGAAATCACTACTAAAATTCATCTGAAAATTCACCAGAAGAGCCCTAGAATAGCAAAGGCAATTCCAAGCAACAAGCAACAAGCAACAAAGGCAATGCAGCAGGCAACATAATCTCTGACTTGAAATTACGCTGCAAAGCTGATGTAATAAAATCAACATGGTACTAGAATAAAAACAGATCTGAAGTTCAATGGAATACATTAGAAGATACAACTACAACTACAAATAGACTCAGCCACTTTATCTTTGATAAATGAGCCAAACACATCCACTGGAAGAAAGATAGTCTTTTTAATAAATGGTGTTGGAAAAATTGGTTCTCCATACGCCAAAAACTAAAACTAGACCCATACCTACCACCATTTACTAAACTGAAGTCTAAAAGGATCAAAGATCTGAATATTAAAATAGAAACACTAAATCTATTGGAAGACAAATAGGTAAAAATCTTGAAGACTTAAGGGTGGGTAGAGAATTCATTAACAAGAATCAAACCACAAGGGAAACGCCCCAGAGTCAATAACTGAGATCATGTCCTATTAAGGAGTTTATGCATGTTGAAAGAAATCTCTAGCATAGTGAAAAGAAAACCTACAAATTGGGAAAAAATCTTATTGAACAGTCCCTCAGACAAATAACTTCTGTCTGGAACATATAAAAAATTTTAAAAAATCAGATCCCCAAAATTCAAAGACCCATTCCAAAAATGGATATCTGAGGTGAATACACAGTTCTCAGATGAAGAAATAAAAATGGCAAATAAACACATGAAAAATGTTCAACATTATTGGTCATTACAGAAATGCAAATTAAAATCACACTGAGATTCCATGTCACTCCAGAAAGAGTAGCCAGGATAAAGAAATCTACCAACAACAAATGCTGGATAGGCTTTGGGGGAAAAGGAACTCTTCTGCACTCCGGTGGGAGTGCATAACAATGCAGCCACTGTGGAGGTCAGTCTGGAGATTCCTCAAAAAGCTTGGATTAAAAGTCACATTTGACCCAGCTATTCCACTTCTGGTTATATCAAGGAGCCCATAACATTGATAATATAGGTCTTCAAAACAAAGTGATATGAACATCACATCACAGTGCACCTGTGTTTATAGCAGCACAATTCGTAATAGCCAGAATTTGGAAACAATCTAAATGCCCATCACTGAGGAGTGGATAAAAAAAGGTGGATTTTTTACATTGAAGTATTACTCAGCTATGAAGAATGATCGCATTGAGATATTTATAAGTAAATGGATACAATTCAAGACCATACTCATAGTGAAGTAAATCGAACTCACAAGTGTAAATACCATATAGTCTCCCTAGTATAAGACATGATAAGAGTACATGAGATACAAAAAACTCTATAAATATAGTGAAAGGATAAAAATCTGCTTAAGGGGGAAAATAATATCTCAAGGAAAATGAGGATAAAGAAAAAGGAAGGGAAAATAAAAATATCTAAAATTATACAAACACACTTAGGATAGCTAAGATGATTGTACTAAAAATTCTGTAAGTTCTTGGAACAAAATATCTAATGTTCATAGGACTGGAACAATTGCTCATATTATTGTATGCTAATCTGAGGAACTCTTGAAGCTCATTGTGTAAAATAACAACCCTAGTTATGTTCATATCACTTTGTTTTGAAGATCTATATTATCAATGTTATGGGCTCCTTGCTATTGTTATTTATTTGTCTTTTTGTTTTGTGCCTTTCTAGGAATTTGTTTTGTTTTGTTTTGTTTTGTTTTCCCCCTAAAATAGAAAGGATAAGTATACATGTAGAAACTCATACATGCATATAACTTCTCCTAAATAGTTTATCAGAATCAATTACATAATGCGTGATGAAATGAACAGCTGCTTTGAAGAAAAAGAGACACTATGGTATCACTATGGTATCCAGTGCTGATTCTGTAACAGCATGCTGTGAAATCCAGAAATACTATTATTCTTTGTTCAGAATGATTTCAGTCTGTTTTGTATTGTTTAATTTCAACATACATGAAGGTATGGACAGCTATCTTGAAGATAGCGAGAGACATTATAGCAGCCATTGTTGACTTTTCCATTTGCTGGTTTTGAAGGCCTAAAATGCCTTCATCGTCCTGTTCTGATCAGTTTAATACTATTTTGTTTCACATAAATTCATTGTGTGTGAAGATATAGACAACTATTTAGATGCAAACAAGGGACAATATGATAGACAGTGAGGATCTCCTGTTATCTTGCTTTGAAACCTGTGTCTTTTACATTGTTTTCTTCTGATCTGTTTTATTATGTTTAATTTTACTCTCTTTAAAATAAATTTGAAAAAACTGGTTATATATTGGCAGGTGACATTTTTTAATTTCTAGACAGAATAAATAATCATCATGCTAAATATCCTTGTTTCTTTTCTTATTTCAAAATGCCTTTAGTTACCAAAATAACTTCTGTTATACCAGGACTTAATACCATCATATATTTTATAGATGGATCATCAAAATTGAAAGTAACAATTTGGATTAAGGATTTACAACATGTTTTAACTACTTTTCATTTTTCATCTCAGAGATCAAATCTTATTGATATCCTGTGTGTAATTAAATGTCTTTTAGTATGGTAGAACATGCACATTATTAGTGATTCAGTCTACAGGGTGTGTTAGACCCAGATGCTAAAAATTACAGTCTGTAGTCAACCCTAGATTTTGTATTGCTAAATCTGTTCCTTATTTTACAAAAGGCCATTTTGAGTTAGGACCATTCCCTTTTTCATAGATCATATTAAATCACATTCTAACTTGCTGTGACCCTTAGTTATGAGTAATCAACAAACTGATACCCTAATTGATTATGCTTCTTCTTTCAATCAAGCTAAATAATTTCATAAATATTTTGATCAAAATTTCAGAGCCTAATCAAAAATTACATTACTGAGCCAGACAAATTATCGATGTCTGTCCTTCCTGTCAGAAAATTCTCCAGCATTGCTTCAAGAGAGCTGCAATCCATGAAGTATAAAAACCAATTGGCACACATTTTCTAATTTAGTATGTTATAGTTTGTGCATGTCTTTGGAGACCTATAATACTTGATACTCAGGAAAAAGAGCATCTCATATATAGCATTGATTGACAGTTTTCACTGCTGTGGAGAGGCTCAAAACTATAAAAATTGTTAATGACCCCACCTATGTAAGTAAACCTCTCCAAATATTTTTCCAATTGTGACATATTAAACATGTTGCTGCTATACCTTATAATCCTCAAAAGGACAAGCAATAACAGAAACAACCCAATTAACAATTAAACATGAAGTAGAACAACAACACAAAAACGTGGGCACATTGATGGGTACTCAGATTATACTAGATTTCATATCATTGGTCTTAAAGTTTCCAAATCTTGCCACAGATTCAAAAATGATGCCTACAGAGCTCCTCTGGACACTGAATTGAAAAGAATGCACTCCTCATGCACAGGCTCAATGGGACACCAGCACTGGTGCCTGGGAAGGCCCTCTATCATTAACAACATGTGAGGGAGGGTATATGTGTCTGGGCAGGAAATGGAGAGACACACTTGCTGCATTCTAAGAATGTGCAGCCACATTAGATCCAGAAGTGTCCACTAATTATACACCGTGCACAGGCTTTTTCAATTACAGTTTTCTAGTGTATGCACCTGACCAACAGCCCACACCCATAGAGACACATTGACCCCTCAAGGAACTGGACATTGAGACAACAGAATGCTGAGAACCCTGTCCATGAAATCCAATGGGAAGACAATCAAACTGGCAGAGTGAGGCTAGGGCAGTGACCGCATGTCAGGGGCTACTACACACACTAGATAATATCTAACTCAGTTTGCTAACTGTGCTACTGCTTCTGCATGTATCAGGCTTGCTACAGTCAATGAAGTTTGGACCTTTGTTCCAAATCCACCTCTTTTGTGCCCTGTTACCTGGATGGATCATCCTAGTGTGATTTATCAAGCTAATGGTGAAATACATCCTAGACCAGATATATTTTCAGGCTTATAGAGAACAATAAAATTAGATGAACAGGTCTTTGTTAATTACACATCTTATATTATCTATCTGCTTTATGTGGGAGCTATGTGAAAACCCAAAAAACCCCTTGCCATAGGGCTAGGGCTCAAACCTAGGGGTGGTCCACAGATGTTAACTTAACTATGGTAACCTGGGCATCTATATGTATCTGTGTGGACTAAAGACTTTTATCAACCTAAATTGTCACATTATGTGGCTAAAACCCTCTTCTCACATTTTCAGGCGGGTTTTATCTCCCTAGGATATATGTCAAGCCAATCTAGGACAGAACAAGATGGTGTATGATGGTGACTTTATATATCGGGCATCTCAAAGGAACTGTCTGGGAAGAAATAATCAGGAATATGGGTGCCTCCTACAAATGAGGAGCCAAGAAGAACATGCCTTAACTTCTAATCCCAGGGATTTTATTGATCTAATTAATAAAATCTAATCTGGGGCTTAATGCCCTTAATGTCCCATATTCTCTATGAGGCCAAAACAACCTCTGCAGCATTCTTTAAGGAAACTGCTACTTTGTTTTATGATAAAGTCAGAGTAGGTAATAAATTGGTTTTAGATAAAGAACATACTATTGTACAGTCTTTACAAAGTGATTAATACAGAAAGAAGTATAATGCTTACATTAGATGGGGGATTTACATTAGCAATCAAAGTGCTTGCTTGGTAAGCATAAGGTAGTGCGTATGATCCTTGGTACCAAAAAGAAAATAAATACATATATGTATAGCTTACATGTTTTTGTTCAGCACAATGTCATGACAGAACAATTAATTTACTTGTTTTTTTTTTTTTTTCAGTACCAGGAATCAAACTCTGGAGCTCACAATCGCCAGGCAGGCACTTACACCACTAAACTAAACCCTCAGCCCTAATTCACTTGTTTTAACTCTTTTCTAACTCTTTGGGTTTAACATGGAGAACTCCATTCCAAAACAGTAATAATAATGGTCTGAATTCTTAGCATACAGCTGCCTGTTAATCTTACAAATCCATAACAATACTAACCCACCTCTATTTCACTTAATTTTCTTGCTTGATCCTTTGGTGCACAGAACCAAGAGCATAGTGAGATACTGTCTCCCTAGTTTTATTCGTCTCTAGTGTAGTTCTCTTCTCAGTGGCTCTTGGACATAACATACAGACTGTGAATTTCACTAAGAATTAGACCAAGATTGCCAATCTTGTATGGAATATCCAGTGATATGTATACACTAAGCTAGAAATGCAGGTATGTGTGCTAGAAACTGCTGTTCCATGACTAGGTGACCTCATTTAAAGCTTATAATCACATCAAAAGCTGCAGTGTAATTCCAATTTCACATGCTTCTCTCACTTCTTCTCCATGTGATAAGTCCTTGAATCCACAGGAACACATCAAGAAATATATTAGAGGAGAACTCCATTCTATCAAAAGTACTATGCTGGATACTGAAGTACTCCAGCGAATAGCTCTTTTGATATCTTAACAAACTCAGAATTTTAACATTCAAATTCAAGATTGGTATAAATTCACTGATGTCCTAGATCAACACATCCCATACACATATTTTTAAGTTCATTTGTTGCATATGTTGGCATCCTAGAACTTACTATTTTCTTCTGCTTTTATTCTTACTATGCCATAGAAGAATCATAACCAACTGATATCTAGAGGCCAAGCTACCCAGACTTGCCCTGATGCACCTGCTTTTGGTTTCAAAGAAAAGGAGGAACTGGTGAGGCCCAGCTTGATGCTATGCAAGCAGCCAACAACAAATACTAATCAACTAGTATAAAAATAAATTATGAGTCTGTCCTAGACCTAAAATAACTTGTGTTGTGGACACAATATATAATATTTAAGCCAGTTACCAGTTCCAAGGGTAGCAAACTGAATTTCTGGTGCCTGAAAGCAAGATACCATGACAGCTGAGGGCTTTGACTTATGAAAATTGTTTATCTCAGTAATCAGAGTTACCAGAAAAACCAGGTTATTGTTAATCCTGATCTGTTCCTGTGTGGAATTCCAAAATGCGTGGTTTCATGGTGAATTCTTGATAACTTGATGGCATTCTGTTTATACTAGAGGGAAAAATAGAAAAAAATTGAATGTTTTCATTGAATGTAAGTGTAAAACATATGTTATTACAGGATTCAAAGGTCAAACATAGATTATGAAAGAGTTTAATTATTGTGGTAGTTTTGTCAACTGCTTAGAATTTTAAGGATTGAAAAGAGGAATGTGTGGAAAAACTATGCTCTTCACACAGAGCTATCAAATGCACACAAAGGAAAATAAAGGATATTTAGTTTTGCATGTATGGCTTAATTTTCCTATTAAAGAATGGATATAATTTGAAGTATAGTATCCAGAACTATTCTAACAACTCACTGGTAAATAATTCAAAATTATGAAATAATTTTACTTAAAACATTCATTTCATGGCCACTAACATCTGACTGGCTTGCTTTACAGAAACAGTCAAATGAGAGTAATTATTAAGGACTGATTTTATGGTTTTGAAAGCTTTGAATTGTGCTATCTCCTTTGTAAACATTTTTATATTTATATTAAAAACTACATGTCTATCCGCCAGATCATCGCTGAATGAAAATGTTACAGTAATTTACAAAACGGAATATCCATGTATGTGAACTTTAAATTGGTAAAATAAATAAAAATATCTTTCCAGGATTATAGTCCCTAACAATTAGAAAACACTATTGCAATACTGGTGGAGTTAAACTATATCTCAAATGACACTGGGAAGAAGTCTATGTGATTAATAGCAAAATACGTTATCATTTTGTTTCCTGATAATCTTGCTAATGATAGCAAGTTTCACTTTTGTTTGCGACTTGAGTAAAAGATATTTAATAGGGTTAGGATGTTTATAGAGTTTAAATAGTTTCTTAAACATAAGGGAATCTCAATTCCAGAGACTGGGCAGCCTGAGGTGAGTATCCCCACACTATCCCCTGAGCCCCAAGTCTCAGGAGTTTAAAATCCTTGCTCCCACCTTCGCCAGGAACTTCATGGCTTCCTCCTGTACCAGCTCAGCAGGTCTTGAGCCTGCCTGCACCAACTTCCCAGCTTCCTACCATGGTTGGCAGACTCTGGGGATTTGGCCTGCCTGCACCCTCAATTCTGGAAACTGGGCTGCCTCAGGTGAGTGTCCCTGCACCATCCCAAACTCAAGAGTTTGAGATCACTGCCCCCACAAGCCAAGGAACTTCACAGCTCCCTGCCACACTCAACCTGCCCCGCAGGGCTTGGGCCTGCCTGCCCCATCCCCAGTGACCCTCTCTCAATCCAGAGAACAGGGTGGCCAGAGTCCCAAGAGCTGAGGGCATAGAAGAGGATTTCCAACAGGCCCTGGGAAAGCCTTGGAAAAACACTTGAAACACAGAAATATAGGAAAATGACAAAACAAAAGAACACAATACAATCTCAAACCTCCAGTCCATCCCAAGAAACCTTAGGAGTTATGCACATAGAAGAAAATATATGCCATATGCCATACACCTGAAATACCTGAAATAAGAGCAACTGAAATAAAGAAGCAACTCTGGGAAGCTTTAAAGGACTTCAAACTAGAAATACTCAGGTGAAAGAAGAAATGATAAAAGAAAAGAAAGAGATGCTGAACATATCTAAAGAAAACACAGTTAAAAAATTGGAGGAACTAAACAAAAAGGTAGAATCCCTGGATGAACAATGTAAGAAACAAACAATACATAAAGCAGAAGCAAAGAGATATAAATGAAATCAAAAATTCCATTGAAAGTTGTTAAAACATAAGGGATTTCTTATTTGCAAATACATATGCAATATATATATATATATATATATATATATATATATATATATATATACCCATACATGGCAAGATTGAGATATTGACCTCTACAGATCCTTTTTAAAAAATTGTTTGACATCACTTGCAATTTGTTTGTGTGTGTGTGCTAGAGATCAAGCTCATAACCTCATATTTACCAGGCAGGCCCTTTCACCACTGAGCTAATTCTCCAGCCTTAATTTTTCTTTTTGACTCAAAGTCTTGATTTTATTTTATTAGTTTTACCTTTGACATAATTATTAAATTTATGGAAATTTTTAAGAAATTCTAATTCATTAATTTGTGGATTTCTCATATTTCCCAGTGTCTTTATAGTTCCTCTGAACTTATATCTTCCTTTCAAATTTCAGTATACTATATTGATAAGCTATTTGCAGTTCTCAATGAAAATTTTATCTGAGGTATTTATTTTCTTAAGGTAGAAACTTTCATTTTACGAAAGTTCCTATCAGAACTACCTTTGCAACAGCACATATGTTTTCATATGATGCTTCAAACTTCTTTGACATTTGTCTCTGTATATATTAAAGTTCTTTTTTTCTGTAATTATATCAATTTTCACTCTGTGTTCTTTCATGTAATACAAACACATTTTTCTCCTTTTTTTTTTTTTTTTTTTTTTTTTTTTTTGGTCTTTTTCCTTTTCATCAGTACCGGGGCTCGAACTCACAACTGCCTGCTTGCAAGGCAGGCACTCATGCCACTGAGCTAAATCCCCAGCTGTCTATTTTTCTCTTTTTTGAAAGATATTTGCATGGCATTTACTTTTCTGTCTCTCCACTTTCAACCTATATGTATTATTACAAACAAGGCACAGATTACAACTGATATTTTAGGATGGCAGTGGAAAATAGGTAAGATCATATACAATGGACTTATTTGTTCTGTGATACAGACACCTACTTATATCTATATATGGAAGGAAAATAACTTCTTTTTCTTAGAGTTCCTCCTCATTGCTATGAGCAGTGACTACTGCTAAAGATGTAATTTGAGGTGATACATAAGCATAGGTGTGCACGTAGTCAAGTAGGAAGAGAAGCCTTGCAGAGAACATGGCAGGGGCAAGAAGCTCACATGCTGACAAGCAGAACTAGAAGTGTGGCCATGTGGAGTGAGATGGCAGAGAAGGATGCAGTGTTTCGGGTTATATAATATCTTAGGGACTTTGCAGCTGGACTAAAACACGTACGATTGTCCTAAACTTGAAAAGCTATGTGAAACATCTATGCTTTCTTATTTGTGCACGAAATTAAACAGTTTATTTCCTAACTTAAGTGCTACAAACTTGTGTGCAAGGATAATTATCTTTTCCTTTGCATTTGACTTTTAAATTGATTATTTCTACCAAAATTCTATTTGTTTAAGTCCTACATTCCACTAATCCATTCTTTATATATTTTATCTCTACTTCTCTGGGTTTTTTCCATGTCCTCTATAATGCTTTCTTTAGATTTAAGATACTACATCTATTTAGAGATCAGTTACATCTAATGGATTCTGGTCTATTTCCCTTCATGATAAAACAAATTCTTAGCAGCAATATGAATTTTAATAATAATTTGTGTTTCAGTTGTGTTATCTGTAAAATGTGTCTAGAATCATATCTTCTTTCTTTAAATTGTAAGATATTACTGAAACCAACAAATTATACTATGCAATCTTGTGTAGTTTTATGTATCTTAGACTTCACTTTATGTTTTCTATGTATTTCATGCCAGTATCAGAAAAAAAGCCTTCATATCATATACAAAACCATATCAGTATTTGTTATTGGTTGATTTCTTAGTGACAATCTTTCCTTTTGTGGTGAAATAGAATCTCATTGTTGTTTTAATTTGCATTTCTCAAATAACCAATCATGTTCAACATTTTCTCATATATTTGTTTTCCATTTGTATTTCTTCATCCGAGAAGTGTGTATTCATCTTGGATGCCCATTTTTGGATTGGGTCTTTGAATTTTGGGGGCTTAATTCATTTAATTCTTTATGTGTTCTATACAGATGTCCTTTATCTGAAACACGGTTGACTAAAATTTTTTTCCCAATTGGTGAGTTTTCTTTCACTCTTTTGGTAATGTCCTTTGATGTGTAAATACATTTTAGAGTAATGAGATCTCAGTCGTTGATTCTTTGAAGTATTTCCCACACAATTTGATTTTTGTTCATGAACTCTGCTCATCCATATGTCTTCAACATTCTATACACTTTGTGTTCTAGTTGATTTACCATTCTTGTTTTAATATTTAGATCTTTGATCCATTTTAACTTTAATACACAGTGCTAAACATGTGTCTATATCTGATAATCTGAGCAACTATTTAAAAGATAACGACATGCAATATAATAATAATTGTTAATTTCCTATCATCTTGTTTTGAAATTCTGTATCCTTTTTATTGTATTTTTATTCTCTTAAAATAAAAAAATTAAAAAAGTTTTATTACATACATTAATAAAATAGTTTTATTAATAAAATATAATAATGTACTTCATGTATTTAAGTGTTTTCTTCTAATGTAACTATTCAAATGTATTTTATTTATTTTCTATTTTCCCTCTGCTCTCTCACTTAAATATTGAAGTTTGTCTTTCTAGCAAGTGTGAGTGTTGTTTTATTTTGTAATTCTGTTAGTATTCATCAGACAGCTTTTATGTGTGTTTACCCAGGTGACCACTGGGTAAAGCAGTCAGTGACAAGAAACATATATGACCACCTTGCTTCTCATCAATGACTTTTGATTATTTAATACTTACCTAAGGAAAATAAGCAAGATAAATAGTGTTTGTGTGAGGGAACTATATGCAGTGACAAAAAACTGCAATAGGTAAGATAAAATTCAATGTGAAAACACAGGTATTAGATAGTAGATGGCAGAAGTATAACAGAGAGCATGGCACTTGAGAAAAAAAAAGCCCTCGAGTGAATATTTTCTGTTTGGTGGGGCAAGACTGTACAATACCAGCCAGAGAGGAGTGGTGGATCAGTTACAAAGGTGAGCTAGAGCTTCATCACGTTAGTCATGTTAAAGTGATGATACTGACATAGATTTCACAAAGAATGTTTTAGAACCAGTGAATAAAGGTAATTTAAATTTTAGCATCCTGTGGTTTCTAGAATACAAATGACTATTCACAAATAAATCTAATGTACAGTTAGTAAGTAGTTTGGAAATATTGCAAAGTTCCACTTCAAAGTTCATGAAGAACTAAAAGGATATTTTTGAAGAAAATCTTAAAATATTTGAGACCTTTGAAAATGCATGTAAAAATTTGAGGCTATGAGTGCAAAGAAGATTGTTCACAGTGTACTGGTATTAACCACTGATTAGAACTATTTTTTTTGTACCAGGGATTCAATTCTGGATATCATGCTTACCAGGCAGGTATTTACACTGCTGAGCTAAATCCCTAGACCCTTAATCACTTAGTATAAGGCCGTGCAATTTGGTATGAAAATTGCAAATAATGGAAATATTGATGACATGAATGCTGCATGGCTGAGAATCTAGAAATCATATTTGTGTAACAAAGAGAAGGCAAGGAAATCTAATGGCTTTGAAGTTTTCTGATTTTATAAGCTTATTATTAGCTAACATCATCTATTTAAGATTTTGCTGAAAAGGCCATACCTTCATTGTTTAATGAAACATCTTCTTAAACAAAGTATTCTATTATTCAAATTGTAGCCTTATGTTTTAAAATAATTGCTTGAATATAAGCCTAGCACTAAAGGGATGAAACTCAAAATAAGAACTCTAAAAATTATGCAGTACTCCTTTCTGTAGCAATGTGTGGTTGTCCTTATTGTAATTTGGAGTCAGCAGGCAGTTTGGAAATGTACTTTAAAAAACAGTGACTCCACCCACACATGTAAAAATGACTTATTGGGGCTAGAAGTTGAGTGTGCTCTTTGTGTTTTTCAGCTTTCTTGTATCTGAATTCAATTAAGAAAGGCATTACTGTCTTTTTGTGACTGATTTAACCTGGTTGTTGAAATATGTGAGAATTGTGAAAGTTATACCTAACATCTAGCAGACCACTTGAATTACTCTTAGCTCTCATGTTCAGTGACAAAAGTCAGTGAAAAGTTTTGAGAAACAATTCAGACATTGACCTATGGCTATACTGATTTAGAATTGATGGATTTGGAACATGTAAGATCTTACAATTCCAGTGTTCAAGAAGAGCTTCAGAAGAACAAAGAAGGGACAGGGTTTTCAAACCTGTGGATGGCCAGTCCTCCTATGCTGGACTTTAGTCCTTTCCTCTCATTCAAAAAAGAAAAACAAACTGGCTAAAAATAAATATAAACAAGTACTCTCAAAACATAGTACAATTATAACATTGGAAGCCCACTGAAATGAATTACCTTTTAAAAGAGTTGGAAACAGTTTGTCAATCCATGTTCAATATTAACTAATGTTTTGGAAAGATTTGTGTTTTCAACAATGTGTATATTCAAGAAGAAATAAAAGGAGCGCTGAAAATAAAGTGTTCTAAAGGATATAACTGCATGTATGTTTAAGTGTGTAAGACAGATGACCATATTACTAAGTTTTTGTTGAATCATGGAGCAAAACTGTTTGGAGTCTCACTGTTTGAATGTCCACTTCGTGAGCTTTAATTTTGTAACTTGAACAACTATTTGTAACATGACAATATATAATTTGTCAACTAGTGATTTCTTAGTGTTTATTTATTTATTTATTTATTTATGGAATTCTGTATTGCTGTTACCCTTTCTTTTGTTTTGCTTCTTTTCTCTTTAAATAAAATTATGAAAAAGTTCTTGTTTTATAATCATTTTCAACATCATATGAAAAAGTATATGAATTTCAAATTATTTTCACACTAATTGATATATTTTATCTCAATTATACATCAAATACTGAAATGAAAATTGTGGGTAAAAATGTACCTAATTTTGTAAGGAGAAAATACTTTCACCAATATATTTTGAAAGTAAAGAAAAACTGACTGAAATATGAGTGTTTGGCTTTAATTATTGTTTTAAAATGATAAATATTCCCTACCTTTATTACTAATTACTAACTTGATACAATATAAGAAGATAATAATTAATATTAATAATTTGGCATAAAAATACATTGAGTGTATTCCAGGCCTATGTGATGGCCTGAGAGCTGTCACTGGCTTAAGGAGAAATCAATCTTTGAGCTGAGGCTGGCAAACAGTCGGTGAATTCTGGTGCAAATTCAAAGCAAGATAAAATAGCAGTTGAGGACTTTGACTCCTGAAAATTTTGTCTAGCTCAGTAATTACACTCAGCATAAAATAAGGTTGCCAGTTACCTCCAATGGGTTCCTGTGTGATTTTCAAAACTTCCTGTCCTTCAATTCTTGAATCTTTACTGTATCAGCAGATCACCTCATGCCTCATGGTCCTTCCCCATCAAAAGTCTTTCAGCACCCTGGAGGGCTTGGTTACTTCAGTGTATATATTTTATCTATATTTCATTCTGTCATTATACCTCTGAGCAGGAGACCAGTGGTTCTAGGCATGGGTGCCAATATATGGCACCCTATGTGTAGCACTCAGATGACCACCTGCTCTCAGATGATTCATCCCAAGACATCACAGAGAGCAGAAAAGAGGACAGGACTTCACATGATGAATAATGGGGCTGCCCAAAGTGTGAGGTAGCTGATTACTGGTATGAGAAGATTTTCAAGTGGGATTAAAATGGTATAAGATGTACCAATTGGGGGAGCAACAGTATGTCCAGTTGCTTCATGCCTGGCTAAGGCAAGCTAAGATTAGAGATCCAAATAGCAGTTTGACTAAAATATTAAAAGATAGCATGAAGTTCAATTATTAGTTGTATCAATGAAGGAAACGACTTAAAATTTGGGATCTCATAGGAGACTCACTAAGGCACACCCAACACTATGGTGAATTCATCACTCATGAGATATTTATTTCCTAAAGCCTGATACACTCCATTCTCAAGTCTGTACAGCCTAAACATGAAGAACACCTTTCTCTAAAATCCAAAAGGATGCAGCTTCTCAAATGAAATAAACAACTAGCCAAAACACTTTCTAAATTGGAGTGCCTCTTTGTGAAAGCTGCTTCCTTATCTGTTAAGAAACCTCCAGGGCAGTGCAGCATCAGAAATTACATGGAGGAGTAAGATGTGCTCCCACCTCTTCCCTCACCTGAAGCCTTACTGTTTCTCCAGCTGAAGCACTGTGTTGCTGCACAAACTGGTTACTAATCATTATCAAAGAGTTTCACAGAATTCAGAAGCCCAGGAAAAAGGTTTGGCACACTTGTGTTTCCTCCTAGGAAAAACCAGGCATCCTAATAACTGAGAATATTAACGTTCCTTTTCAATTAAAAAAAATAAAATCTAAAACAAAACATCATATACAACAAGTCCAAAGTCCATATAAGATTGGTCTATTAGAGAATATATTACAGGCTTATCTGTTGGTTGCTTTTAATCCATGTCATTTGGCTAAAACATGTTTGTTGTGTACTCAATTTCTATATTTTGTGGCTCTGATATGGTCTTTGGTTATTGAACAGGCTAGAAAAACCATAAGGGTAGTAATCCTAAAACTATATTAGATATTCTTTCCAGTGTGGGTAACTTTGCCAATCCAAATGCTCAGATTGGCTTTCATGCAGTTCTTTATACACAACAGGCTAAAACTCTGCAGAGTGTGAGTGATACTCCCAGATGTTGGAGTTCCAATACAATCTTTACCGAAATCTTGCAGAGTCCTACTAGAACATATACTCAGTTTGGGGCTCAGTTACAAGAGGCTGGAAAAAGAGAAGTCTCTATTGCTCAACCTTAAGATATCTTGGGTCTACAGTTGGCTTATATGAGCATGCAAACCACAATGGCCAGCAAGCTATTCATCCAGTCATTGGCAGATGATATTGGAACACGTGTTAAAGTATGTCAAACCAGAGTTCACCTTCTTACAATTCAACTTTGTTGGTGAAAGTTATATCTTACTAATCCCAAGAAAGAATGATTTATAATTGAGAGATACTGTCAATACAAAACTAAGTTAAGAAATACAATTTTTATATGACAACTATAAGTCATCATTCCTAATTGCAGGTGTACTAAATGTATTCTTGTCTTCCAGATGGACTGGTCATCAAAATATAAAACTGGAATTATTTTAATGACAAACTGAGGTATCTGTCTTTCTCTTGTGCTATAGCTATTTATGATAAGAGGTATATTTTGAATCAATATGAAATTACCAGTTGAATAATAGTCTTTAGAAAATGTATATTATGGAGCACTTAGTACACTATTTGTAAAATGTGCACTATTTAACATATAATATATAAACTTAAAATATAAAAATAAATAATATAATATATATATAAATATGATATAAAGATATATAAAAGAATATAAATATAGAATATAAAATATAGAACACATGTGTGTATCTTATCACTGTTCAAATGAAGGTAAACAGTTAAGTGTATTAGAAATATGCTGAAATTTTATATGTGGCTTTTGATCTTGAGTTTTCTCTATAAACTGTGCAACTCTTCGACCAAACACCCAGAAGTGGTGAGAAATCACATTCTTTTATGTTTTATATTTGAAAAATACATGATATCCATAAAATTATAATAAATTCATTACTCCAACTATAATATTGCTCTCAAGTTTCAAAGGGCATGAATGTCCATCATATACAACAGCATTGTTTAGTGACCTTTGCCTATGACCATAAGAACAGATAATGGACCTGCTTATGTTAGCACATCCACTCAAAAATATTTTCAGCTCTGGGAAATTAAGCATAAAGTCAAAATCCCATATAATCTCCAAGGACAAGTAATTATTAAAAGACCTAAAACCTTAAAACAACAATTAGCAAAACAAAAAGAGGGAATCCCCTCTCTGGTGTGACCACAGATGAAAATAGATTTGGCAATTTAAATTTTAGATCCTGCATGGATGCCCTCCTGATATGTGCTTTATTCCATCATCATACTTCTGAGCAGGAGATCAGTGGTCCTGGACCAGAGCCCAATAATGTTTTCATCTAGTAGTTTTACATCTTATATTTTATATTACATATTTAATTTATTTAAAGTTATTTCTGCAAATAGTGTGAATGAAGGTCAAATTCCCTTATTGCACAGGTTAACATATATGTGTTTCCATGAGTATTTTGTTGAAAAGACTCTTCTTATCGTACGGTGTTTTGTTAACATCATTCTTCTTTGTTTTGACCCAAGAGCAATAGTCCCCATGTCCTGTCGTACAGGTCAATGGAATGACCCAGCCATGCTGATCACCTGGGGAAGAGAGTTTGCTTGTATTTCCATAAATTATGGAAACCACTAAAGCTGCCTTCCCAATGAGTGCAACATTGAGCATATCCAGTATTGAGGCAGAAGGCCACCAATCTTCCTATTTTGACACTGTCAGAAAGACTTGGAGACATGGATAATTTTTGTCAAATTCTAGAGAGACAAGACCTTCCCAAGACAGTTACCTGGAAAGTCCTGCTGATGATAAACAAAACTCATCAACTGACTTTCCATCTGGATTTGATCCCTAGCCCTGTGGTTGCTATGTATGCCATCATGGCTGCTGCAGGATGTATTACCTCTGTGGCAGGGAAGTGATACTTTTAATTGGGAGGGATGGACTGTATGATATGGAGACCCAGTGTAGAACAGTCCTCCCCAACTTTTACCTTTTCCTATGAACATACTGTTTTATATATATAGGTAAATCTGAAATTATCTACCTATTATCCTCATTTGTCTTTGTGCATGTTTCCCATTGGACTATATATCATTCGTAAAAATGAGAAAGGAATATACTGAGTCAGCAAACAAGAAAGTAAGGCTTAAAATCATAAGTATAATCTTCCTAAAAGTGTGTCAAATCTACAGTAAGAACTATTTGATCTTTTATGTAGACCTCCCAAGACTGAGATGTCACTGTAAAACAAGGATTAGGAATGTTATTTAGCACAGAGACACATGGGGTTGGACGAACCAGACATGAAGTAAGGTTTACTAAAGTATTACATTCCCTAAACCATATTTGTTTATATACAATAATGCTGGCAATATTTAGAATTCTCTTTAAAATTAGCATTATCTATTGGATAGAGCTATATTCAGATGAGAAAAAGAGAAGCCAATGATGATGGAAAATTTAAATTTACCCTAACTGAATACAAACTTATAAGTACTGATATTTGCGTGTACAATTCTCATATACACCTTCATAGGGATGTAATTTGGAATGACACTTTCTTGTCATGTTTTAATTATTGTCTCATACATTATATCCATTCTGGTCAATTGTCAGCTATTTTGAGTGCCTGCAGTCTAAGACATATTGCTGCCTTTTTTCGGTTTCTATTCTTAATATGCCACACAGCAATTGCAACCAACCAAAGTCTAGATGCCCCAAGAATCACATTTCCATTGATGTTTCTCCTTCAGCTTCAAAAGAAAAAGATCAATCTGAGGACCAGATTGTTGTGGTACAAGCAAGAAATAATTAATATTCATAAATTGGCTAGGAATTGATTGAGAGCCCCTCATAGTCCTCCATGACTTGTGGCAGGACCCCCAGCTAATTTAAGGACACATTAATCTTTAAACCAATGGCTAATGCTGAGGCTAGCAAATAGTCTTTAACTTCTGGTGCCTCAAAGCAAGATATCATGACATTTGAGAACTTTGACTCCTGCAGATTTTGTCTAGCTCAGTGTTATACTTTGTGTCTGAATGTTCCCCAAAATTTCACCAGGTCATGGGGATTCGGCTTCTGGAGATTGCTGAAGATAATTTGTGATTAGTGTTGTAATGGGCAGTAAGAGTGCTGCACCCACCCTGAGACCAGTAACAAACATAGAATATAATGCAGGACAGAAGTGTCCTCTTCTCCTTTTTGCCCACTTCTGCTCTTACTGCTTTTGCTGTCTTCTGCCTCCCAGAATTGTTGCCCCTCGTCATTCCACCCTGCCTTGGAAGCAGTGGATTATAGAATGAAATCTCCACAGACTGTGAGCAAATTAAACCTTTCCTTTTTTAACTTTGGATGTCAGGTATTTTGTCTTAGTAATGAGAGAGAAGTAACTAAGACACTCAGTAATCACAGCCAGCAAAAAATCAGATTAACCAGTTCCTGTGTGATTTCCCCAACTGCACTGTTGCTCAATTCTTGAACCTTAATAGCATCCATAGTTTACCCCACTGATTTCTGTAGCCCACCTGCACACTCCCAATCAAGCACAGCCCAATTATTGTACCTAATAAAAGCCAAAGACTCCCTGCCACTTGTTCCTAATCTGTGACTAGGCTTTAGGGATCCTGGTGTTCTTAGTAATTAAAATACATGTTTTGCTTTTGTCTTATTCTGTTGACATACCACTGATCTGGAGATTAGTGGTCCTATACCTGGACTTTGATGCATCCTGTCTAACCATATTCTGGCTGAAAATATTAAGTTAATGTATTCATCGCACAGAAATTAACTGATTGAATTCATTCCAAGAATATCGGAAAAATCATACCATGAACTCAAATTCAAATGTTTTATTCTGGGAATAAAATTAAAATCCATAGTAAATACTGATTATATATTACCCTCAACTGACTTGTAAATATGAGTTAAATGAATGTGATCAATTTTTTAAATTCAAAATTTGACCAATGTATACATACTTTGATATGTCTTTTTGTTGTTTACATATATTTTGTTGAAATGTAACATTTTATATTGGAAAAATAATTATGGAATGGATCTATTTCTGCAAACTTTTTTGAGCCTGTATCTGTCACTCACTAGGAGGCACTAAAGACTATTTGTTGAAAATAGTAAGACAGTAGTTTTGATTATCTAAATGTGTGCAATAAAAATATGGACATACATAATTTATACTGATGCACTCTTATTGTGCCAATTTACATTGAAATTTCTATAACATTTGGCAAGATAAAAGGCTAATTTTATTACAAAATTAAAATTGCTACTCTTCCCTTAATATACTGATCTGTGAAGCCTGTCCCTTGTTTGCATGGTCTATGAAGAATTCCACTGTTGTCAGTTCTTCCATCCATTAAATTCCATGTATATTGTGTGGCTTCACAAGGATTTCAAATATTCTTAGCATATCATTCCAACTTAAATTTTTAGTGATACCCTGAATAGAATGTATTTAGAATTAATAACTCCTTGGTAAAGCACCAGAGTAAAAAGCAAAGGAAGAATAATCATGTTGCAATTTAGACTTTCCCTCTAGGAAAGATAACAACATACACCGAATGAATATGAGTAGATTTTCAAATGTTGTTAACATTTGTCAAACACATATTCAATTTTCACTGAAACAAAGGAAGATATTTGAAAATCAGATGAAGATGGGTTCTTAGTAAGCTCCTTTGGGCCAGAAATAATAGGATTGCTCAACTCAGCACTTTGGTAAACTTAGATCTATCCCTTCTTTATCTTTGTCCCTGTCTTAATAAACTTCTGATAGGAAAATAAGCAACATTTTGTGACCAACAACATAGCACTTGCTACACAGGTCAGCAGGAACCCAATCACATCCAAAGAGTGGTACTGGAACCAGGAGAGGTCTTGGGCTGCAACCCGCAGGTGCTTGGCCCCTTTGTGACGCATGACAAACTCGATCCAGAAGACTGCTCGGTCCAGGGGCTTCACTGGCTGGTCATGGTGAATTCTTGACAGCCTCATGGCATTCTCTTTATAACTAGAGGGAAAAGCAGAAAAATTGGATTGTTTTCATTGAGTATCAGTATGTGACACATGTCATTATATGTTTCAAAAGTGAAGCACACATTCAGAAAAAATTAATTATTACAGTAGTTTCGTTCACTTCTCAGATTTTTAAAGGTTGAGAGGAGGAATATGTGAAAGAAATGTGGTCTTAACACAATATAGTCAAAATACACAAAAGAAAATAAAGAATATTCAGTTGTGCATACATGACTTAATTTTGCTGTTAAAAAATTGATATCAATTAGACTATACTACCCAATACTGTTCTAAGAACTGAATCATGAATGATTCAGAATTGTGAAATAATTTCATTTAAAAAATTCATTTCCTGAACTCTAAATATGGCTAGTTAGCTTTACAAAAACAGCCAATCATTAGCAAATATTAAAGGAGTCATTTTACAATTCTGAAAACTTTGTAACGTAATATCTTATTTGCAATCATTTTTATATTTGTTATAAAAACCATATCTTTTTCAGTCAGGTCATCACTGCATGAAAATACAAGGGTAATTTACTACATGGAATATCTCAGTGTATGGACTTTGAGTTTGTAAATAAAAATATTTTTCCAGAACATAATGGCAATAGTGATGGAGTTAAGATCTCTATTTCTCAAACAACAGTAGGGAGAAATCTAGGTGATTAACTGCAAAGTATGTTTGTATTTCAATTTTCCTGATGTTTCTTCAAAGTATTAGAGAAGTGAAGTGATTCTGCATGGGGTGCTCTGTGTTAACAGAACATTGTTAGGGATGAGAGAAAATAATATGGTCAGCATTTGCAAATGTGTTTAGAGCAACATATCTAAAGTCGGGATTATCTCGATGCACCCTTCCTTGGGTATAATGAAAGAAATAGATGTCTTAATTATCAAATATACTGAAGGATAATTAAGGTACAACATTAATATTGCCTCATTATCCTTACTGATGTTAAGCAACTTAATTGGTCAGTAAAAGCCTTTTACTTTTAAATATGGATTTTTATTCCAGATTTTCTGTATGTAAAAAAGGTATACATATCCTCCATTTATAATTTTTCTATTTATATTTGAAGTACACATATATTTGATAAATAAATTTGTACAAGTTAATTAAAATAAAGTATGCTTTTAAAATAACATATATATGCCATTCAGCATAACTTTTTATACTCACATAATTTCAGAGGCAGTATGTTTAAGGTTAACAGAAAGCCATTTTAAATAACTTTTACTAATTACTTAGAAAAGATGATGTATTCCTGCATCAATAATTTTAAAATCAAAAATAATACTTAAAGAAAACTTCATGTATGAGAGTTAAAGAAATGAAGGAAAGTAATTTCTTGCATATATAACAAAAGAAACCTGGTAATCTGTATAATCAACAGAACACCAAGATCAATATTTTGAAAAACATTTATGCAATTCATGATATGCTCAGTTCACTAGTCTCCTGCTGAATAAATTCTATAGTATTCTGAAATGTATAGTAATTTTTCTTAAGTAGATATTATTTGAAAATAGTGTTGAGTAACTTTTTGCCAGCCATAGTTGCACATGTCTATAATGTCAACACTCAGGGGGCTGAAGCAGGAAAATCATTGCAAGTTCAGGACCAGCATGGGTTGCAAAGTGAGCTCAAGTCCAGGCTGAACTGCATAGCAATACCTTGCCTAAAAAAAGATAAATAAAAAAATCTCTTGCTTATACTATTGCCTGTAAAATTAGAGTGATGAACATTGGGCATATTATCACTTTCTTTTTTTTTGTTTGTTTGTTTTGTTTTTTTCATTTTTATCAGTACCAGGGATCGAACTCACGACTGCCTGCTTGCAAGGCAGGTGCTTATGCCACTGAGCTAAATCCCCAGCCCAATCACTTTCATATTATATATATTGGATTTTTTGTGCTGGTAATCACACTCATGACTTTGCTCTTGCTAGCCAGACACTTATGTAACTGAGTTAAATCCCCAGCCCCACTGGTTATTTTTTAAAATTTAAAATATTATAAAATTTTTCAGATTTTTTAATAAAAAATTGTAACAGACTTTTCAGAAAATGCTATGTGATTTCACATAATCAAAATAGTATTTTAAGGAATTATATTTCTTTAGTCCTTTTTGGTTTCTTTCTTTTCATTTTTTTTTTGTCTCTGTCAGAAAAATTCTTCAACAGTTGATGCTGAATAAGTGATTCTATAACAGCTATATTATACTACCACTACATTATTTGCAAGTAACCCACTTACAAAGGCAACAAACATTCCAAATTTCCCAACAAGATGGAAGGTATGGTGGATAGATAGTCAGCCTTCCCAACTTACAAAGGGTCATTGATGACTGTCCTCAAGGCACCCAGCAGGTCTGCACTTGTCATTGTGTTTATGTTGACCTCCACAGCTGCTCCTTTGGCCTTCATGTGAGCAATGTTGTCAGGCTGATCAGAAAACATAGGGACTCCCACCATGGGGACCCCATGATAAATAGCTTCATAGATCCCATTAGCTCCACCATGAGTGATGAAAGCTTTGGTTTTGGGATGGCCTGGTTTAGGAATAGGTTTAGGTTTAGAAATAAATGTGAATAAACACATAAAAAATCAGAAGATTTTCAGAGACAGAAAAGACAAAAGGAATTCCCTAAATCAATGAAGAAAGAGATACTTTCTACAGACGCTAAACACATTGCTACCCGATAAAGGTGTAATGCCAAAAGAAGCAGAGTCTAGCTCCTTCCTCTCCATAAGGGAGGCCTCACTCAGAGTGGTTACATATGATTGAAATTCCCAGGCCAATGAGCTTCTTAACTGAAGATGCTCTTGTAGGAACCAAAGAAAGCATACATCAATAAAATTAATGGCTCATTCTTTAATCATGTCAGTTTTAAAACTGGATGTCAAAAGTGAAATGTTCGGGGCTGGGGATTTAGCTCAGCGGCATAAGCGCCTGCCTTGCAAGCAGGCAGTCGTGAGTTCGATCCCTGGTACCAATAAAAACGAAAAAGACAAAAAAAAAAAAAAAAAAAAAAAAAACAGGTGAAATGTTCAAGTAGTAAAATGTTGTTAATGCCCTTGATCTTAAATCGCTGCTGAACTCGTCTGCTGTCCAACTGCACAGCTCTTCTCCTCTCAAGGTCTTACCAAGAAGATCATTCTGGGGAATCCAATCAAACAGCCGAGTATTGGGTCCTAAAGTAGCTGGCTTCTTTCCCTTGTATCTCCATAAAACCTGGGGAGACAGTGATGTAACTGTGCAAGTCAAAATAGAAAACCTGCGAGTGTGCTAATGCTGCAGAATTACAGTCATTATGCTTCAGGTGATATTTGAGGGGAGGACATTTTAGTAATAATTTGCAAACGTGAAAATACACAGTTGGACTGTTCAAGTCTGCTTGTTGGAAAACGTTGTACTAATATTCTACTATGGGCAGTACTATTATTTTGGGACTTATGATTTAATAAGTACACTGCTATGTTGATATTAATTATTTAAAATCTATTAGAAAAAAGCCGTTAGTGAAATCACAAGTGAAAAATAGGACATAAAGAATAGTCAAAGAGCATATGGAGGTTTGAGATATGAACAAAAACATGTATGTCATACAATTTATTAAATGAAATTTAATCATTTTGCATTCAAATGTAATACTTTTCTAAAATTTTTTCCTTATAGATTCTGTGATTTTTTATAGATTTTCCCCTCCATATTTTTTTCTGTTTCCTTCCTTCTTTTTCCATTTCTCTGTCTTTCTGCCTCCCTCCCTCCTTCCTTGTCTACTTTCTCTCTTTTAACTTTCTTTCTTTCTTCTCTGCTTCCTTTCATTCTTTCTTGCTTTCTCATTTTCACTTCTACTCCCGTATCTCTTCTTTATGATCACTAGGCCAAAATCAGACAGTTTGTTCATATTCCATTTTAGTTATTTTGCTCAAATTCTAATGAGTTTTGGCGAAATATTTTTTTCTTTGAGAAGACAACCTGTGTTAATATTATACAACATGCAGTACTCTTTTGGTATTCATCACTTAGTAAGTATACTGTTATTACTTTGATATTATTTAAAAGCATTAGAAATTGTGATTATAATTAAAAATTGAAAAAATATTGAACAAAACAGCATATCAAGATTTAAAACATGAAGACATATGTGTTTACTAATTATATATGTTATATATATACACCGTGTAATTTAGTCATAATTTTTTCTCTAATGTATTTGTCAAAAATGTTTATCTTTAGATTTTGTGAGTTTTCATACTCTTAATTTCTTCTGACATCTATTCTCTTCCTTTCTTCATTCTCCATTTCTGTTTATCATCTTCCCTGTCTGTTATCTTGCCTGCATTTGTCTCTAGTTTTCTCTTTCATTATATCCTCCTATCTTCTTCCTTTCTGGCTTTCTCATTTTATTTGTATCTATGTCTTTCATTCCTTTTCTTTAGTAGGGCAAATTTAGGTAGTGTTGTAGTCATAGGTTGCAAAAAGAACAATTACAGGCAGGACACATAATTCATACTATTATTTCATGATGGTAACCTAAAGTTAAATACAAGAAAGTGCAGGAAATATGTACACACTAAAGACCTACATTATCCAGTTGAGGGGCTGGATTCCACAGAAATGTACTGCATGAGTCCAACTGAAGAACCAGAGCCCATGACAATGCCTTCCATGAGGCTATCTGGAAGTTTAGAGCCCACAACAAAGACTCACGGAAAGCTGTTTTATGGATCAGCACTGGGAAGACCCAAAGATCAATGGTGGAAGCTAGAAAGTTTATGCCAGCAGGGTGAAGGATTTGTGCCAGCACATTGAGAGTTTTGAAATGAGCCAAGAAATGACACTCAAAATAAGGATTAGTACTCCACTGAAAATTACGACAGCAACCCTCAGTGACAATGAGGTCCCAAGCTCCTCCAACAATGCGAACAGCTGATGTGAAAGACATTTCTTAAAGAGTAAATAGCACATATTTTTTTCCTCCAGAGCCAGGAAGCAATATTTAAAGTGAGGACCAGAGCTCCCCCAAAGAAAACCACAGCCACTCTCAGCAAAAAGGTCCTGAGCTCCTTGGATGATAACCGCTGTGTTTATATCAGGGGAGCCAGTGTGAGAAGCACCTCCAGAAGAACCAACAGCTCCAAACAACAACAACACTTAGGAGAACCTAGAATGCTACACTCTTCCTCTCCATGAATCCTTTTTATGCTGGCAAACTTTCTCAGATGGGCCATTTACACTCAGAAATATGCTGATTTAATTCAGCTGGTGTTATGTTGACAACCAATTTTTAATCCATAACAGGTAGTTTGTTGATATTTTATTTTAAAAAGTATTTGCTCAAATGCTAATAATTTTTTACATAGTCTTTTAACTTGGGGAGGCAAGACAGTTTTTTAATTCAGTGCTAGAAGAAAGAAAACTTCAAAATCACAAGCATGCAAATAAATCTAAATTTTAACTAACTTATAATACTTATCTGTAATATATTACATATATTGTAATATATGTAATTTAACAAATCTATGACTAAAATGAGTCACTGAATGTAAATACAGGTAAACGAAATAGCATAAAGGACAAAATGTCCACTATTTGACAGTTGTATTAGGATTTCAACTCCTTTTAATCTCAGAGTATTAATTTTTGAAAGAATAAGTAAATCTAGGTTTCTACTATAAAATCAACTTTTTATTTGATAGATTATAAAACTCAGAAATTTAGAGTATATTTTGAGCATTTATTTTCTCTTCAATGTAAAATTGCTTTCTTATCCTGGACCAGAACAGTAACATGTATAAAAACATTTTGCGTTAGTTAGTGCCAGTCAAACTATTTAGATTGGCCTAATATTTTCATCTATATTCCATTAAACATAAGTGATTGCAAAATATGGTCCTATAGTAATGTCAGTGTGACAATGATCTATGTTTAGGTAAATGGTGACATGTGAGTAAACTGTCCATTTCAATGTTACACACATTCCTACCTAAGCCTTGTATCAGTTATACTCTCTGTGTAGTGAATTTAAATTTTCCCAGGAAAGAGTGTGATTTGGTCCCATTTCTCCATAATTAGTGCAAAGCTTCTTAGCAGGAACAGAGAGTGTACTGACCTTCTGTGGAATCTGGGCAAGAGCTGAAGCAATGAGATTGGCTTTCTCTTCTGTGAGATTTTTCACCATGGACCCCAGAGAAAACACCACCACACCATCTTCACCTGAACTCTGGACAAATTCTTCCATTTCCTGAAACATAAATTCTTTCCATTAAAAAGTATAGTATTTCAGGAGATAAAGTGGAAAGATGGATGACAGAAACTACTAGATATTGCTATGGTTTGGGTTTAAGGGTCCTCCAAAGTCTCACACTCATAGGTGGGCCTTCTCAGAGCCCGCTGTCTCTGTGATGTGTCATGCTGGGAATAAACTAGGCAGGCTGGATAGAATATAAAGAAGAGTGTCTGCTGCTGCTGCCACTGCTGCTGCTATTGCTGCTAATTTGCTGCTCCTTGCTGCCTTCTGGGTGCTGTACCCTACCATGGACAGTTTCTCATCTGTGGTGGTGTGGTGCAATGACACCTGACATCAGTCCCATTGTGGACTGAAACCTCTACGAACCTTTACTTATAAGTATTGGGTATTTTGTCTTGGCAGCAAAAAACAAACAATAGACAAGCAGGTTCTGCTTTCTGAAATGGGTAACCATGCAGTTTAAGAGAAAGCATATTTTTTAAAGATATCTAAAATACAGTATCCCAGTACAAGCATGGAATAAAATCACTATAGAAAAGAACAGGCAGTAAGCAGCTGGGGAATATAATTGTCATGTAGCACATTTAACTTTTATAACTGACATAATTGTTTGCATACTCATGAAGTATTCATGGAAGAAAGTAGAGAAATGATCCCCGACATAAACTTTACACATTATTATAAGAGACTGGAAAATGATGGGTTCTAGGCAACAAATGCACAAAAGTCATTCCAGAACAATAAACTTTCAGTTTTAAAACAGAAAAAATTAGAAATTAAACACTGATATTGTGCATTTGTGATTTCCTCCATTCACACAAAAGCATCTTCAGTTTACACACCCAGCACCCTTCAAGTTTCATTCACCTGTCATAACTATCAGCAATATCTTCATTTATAGGAAGAGTTAGAACATTGTCGTATTGAAACACTAGTGTACTAGGTCTTGCTATTTATAAGTATATGTAAATGAACTGAACCAAGATATCCTCACATTCAATTAACTGAGGTTCATCATGGGATGGTCATTTTGACTTATGTTCAGTGGTAAAAGGAAAAGCTGCAATTATTTTTGTCATTGCTGACTCTGCTGCTAGAAAGAGAGAAGGAGACAGTTGGTGGGAGTGTAGTCCAATGAACATTAACAGGAATGATTATTACCTATTTCCTCTGTGAATTAACATGAGTCACATTTAGACCTCATCCTCCTTGCCACATTCTCTATAGAGCAAGCAGGAAACCAATATTGGCAGAAGTTGTGTGCTAAGATAGCTTCTGTAATACTACTAAATCTCAGGAACTCATATGTTTTCTACAACTTTGAGCCATTACTGATGTTACACTAAACAGCACACGTCCAAATATTTAGGGTCCTGGAAGAACATGACTATGACTTGGAAAACCTTATAATCAATAGACTGAGAGAAAGATCCTGTATCCTGAGAGAGCAAATGGTGGGCTGGGAAGAATCTTGATAGTGCACAGTGAAAACAGATGAAGTCTGAACATACTGGAAGACTAGGTGATGGGTCTGATGGGGTTTTAAGATACTGATCTGAGACTGAATTTACCTGGGAAACTGAATATCTGTGTCCTCTAAGGCAAGCACAGTCACTGTGGGATACAAAAGACATCTTCATTGAATAGAGAGGTTAGGGAGAAAAAGCCAGGCAGAAATCTGTGAAGTAAGTCAACTATTTAGCCAATGGTAAGTCTTAGTATAGGCATAATAATTCAGAAGAAAAAGTATCACACTTGAGGACAAGGTGAATATGCTAAAAATTCAGTCAGCAATGATAAGAGAAAATGAAGAAATCATGTAAATGTTATATCAGAAATTCTAGACAACCTTAAAGGAACAAATTTAAGGATAGTAGGCCTTGAGGATGGTTTACTCACTGCATTAAATTACTGCAGAAAATTTATCCAAATCAGAAATGAGCTGGATAGCCAGGTAAAGGAAGCATATAGAATCTCAAAGAGACTTGAGAACAAAGGAACTTATGCATGGTGTGTCATAGTCAATATGCTAGAAATGTAGAGTCAGAAAAAAAAATACTGGAAGCTGGTAAAACAGTCAAATTATAAGAACAAATGCATTTTTTTAAAAAGAGCATATTTCTTAACACAAAACTTAAAATTTAGGAAAAAAGAATGAAACTTTTCAAACTCTAAATAAAAATAAATTACAATCTATATTATTACAACCTATAATCATTATTTTCAAAGGTAAAAAAGCAATAAATCTTCTCATAATAAAGACAGATGAACAAATTCATAACCACAAAATCATCATTGAGTATCCTAAGAAAAGATGAGTAGAACAACAAACACAAGTCCCAGTGAAAGAATAAATGTCACTTAGAGAGAGCTTAAATGATCAACAAACAGGAACAACGTAAGGGTAAAACAGCAAAACAAGAATGAGCTTATACCATTAATAGTTTCACATAATGCATATAATCTTAATTCTTCAATAAAAGACACAGACTGGCAGATTGATTAAAAAACAAAATCTGTCCATATGTGATTTTTAGGAGATAAACCTCACCTGTGGAGTAAAATAGAAAACGTTAAAAGAGCAAAACATATTATTTTAAGCAACGGAAACTTGAAGGTGAGTATTTATACCTAATAATGTTGAATTAAAAACAAAACTAGTAAGAAACATAAATGAACTCAGTGTATATAGATAAGGAAACAATTCACCAGGAAGAAATAACAGTTGTAAAGATAAAAAGCAGCAAAAATCCTCACAATTCATTTCCTAAAACAAACACTACAGAACCTAAAAGGAGACACCAACGCAATCATGGCAGGTGAATCTGAATGCCTCATCTCACAAGGGACATGAACCAGATGGAAAAGTACCAAGTGAGTACTAGAGTTAATTATACTATGGATCAAACTGATTGAACAGATAATTGCAGTGTGCTTCATCCCATAGCAGAATATGTACACTTCTCAGAATTCCACGAAATTTTTCAAAAAGTAATCATATATTAGCCCCATAAGCCAGTCTCACTAAATATAAAAAACTGTTTACCACACAATAACATTAGAAAAAACTACAAATGAAGCTGTAGAAACTACATGCCAAGAAGGAGACTGAGTAATATACTTGAAATTGTAGTGGTTCACTGAACAAATCAGGGGTGAGTTTTTCACAATTCCTTTAATAAAATTATAGTGGAATGTTGGAGATCACTATGCAGCGGCTCTGAGCAGGATTTAAATTTTACTAATTGGGCTTCTATGTTTGTCTGTGAGTCTGTCCTAGGCCTAGGCCCCTTGCCTGGTGATGGAAGCTGATTCATAGTAAGTGAACCTCTATTATACATCACTGGTTCTGGCTGAGGCTTGTGGTGGTCTGTGAGGCCAGAGATACCTCAAAGGGCAAGATAAGGCCACAGTTACAGACACTCTGGCTCCAACCCCAATTAACAAGGTAGAGACTGCAGCTGCAAAGATTACTCCTACAGTCTCACTTCTACCATGTCTTCATGATAAGACAGTGCTACTGAATTGACTTGATTCATTGCTTGGAGATGTCCTTAAAGTGGCTCCCAAGGTCCTGCTCATTGCCTGCACTTTCCTCAGTTTCTCTGCCCTTTGTCCTTATTCCTAATGTAAGTGGACTGACCCAGAAAATCCTTTGTCTTTTCACTCAAAGCCTCGAGCTGAATTAAAGGGTTTTGACCCTACTGGAGCCCTAAAAATTATACAATTTGTCTTTTTTTATTTAATCTCCACTGTACACTCATTTGGGAGATCGGGGATCTAGAACAGGACCCAATAGTGGAAAGAAAATGTATCTGAATATGTTTGGAGAAAATGAAGATACTTCTAAGAAATAAGTTTATAGCTGTGAGCATCTACACTTTAGAAAAACAGAGTGGTTAAAAAGAAGTAACAATAGGATGCACCTGAATGTCTCATAAAATGGGAACCATAGGCTTTGCTCTGCACACCTAGCGTGGGCAGAGAAAGTCTGAAGAACTGCCTCTGCCTGCCAGGTGCCACCACCAGAAGATGCTCTCCTTTGCACACCCAGCATTGACAGAGAGAGCCAGAAGACCAACTTCTGCCTGCCAGACACTTGTCATCACAAGGTCCTTTCTTCTGTGTGCCCAGCGTGGGTTGAGAAAGACAGGCAGATCCACCTCTGCCTGCCATGTGCCACCACCAAAAGGCTATGCCCTGCAGATGGCTAGTGTGGACAGAAAGAACCAGAAGATCTGCCCTCACCTTCAGGGCGCTACCACCACAGGGCTTCTTCCTGCAGGCAGCCAGGAGAAGTGACACACCGCCAGGCAATTCCTGTGCATCTGCAGGCCACCACTGGAAGCCTTAGGTTGCCTTGGACAGCCATCACCCACTAGCAGAATCAGACAAACAAACCTCTGTGTCTGCCACCATCATGGGAATCCAAGCATAAACACACAGATTGAGAGAAGCAGCCTCCACCTCCATGCACCTCTGATCATCATCAAAGCCCCAGTGTAGCTGCACTGATTTGGAGAAGTCCAATCCCTGCCCTGTTAGCTCTGTGTAAATCTGGAATAAAGGAACCCAGGTGCCTGTCCCATCCCCCTACCCCTAGGGGCAACAACGTGGGACAATGCCTGGGGTCCCACAACCAGCTCTTTGGGAAGAACCATGGAGAATGTCAAGACATAGGAGCAAAGGGCAAACTCAGACCTCTAGTCTACACAGAAGAAGTCTGGGAGATACAGTCTTGGAAGAAAATGGAAGTTACATACCTGAAATCTCTGAGAGGAGAGCAACTGAAATAAAGAAATAACTTCATGAGATTATAAAAGCAGTCAAATCAGAATGAATGTCTCAAGTAAAAGAAGACATAACAAACATACTGAAAGAATTGTTCAGCAGTTCTAAAAAATATAAAAAAGAAGAGCGTAGGAAAATGGTGGAAACCTTGAATGAATATAGAAAGGAATGAATGAAACAGATTCAAAGAGAAATCCAGGAAA